GTCATCTTTTCTCTTTTTTTGGCGATTTTTCTTCAAGATGGCGATTAGTCTAGCATGTGCTTCTCTAACCCTTCTGCTTTGAGTATCATCAAATTTGCTCAGTCGTCCAGCCGATTAAAATTACTTGATTTATTTGGGTTATATTCAATGTCTTTATTAAGATAAATAATTCAAAAAACACAAGTAATTCTTTTTCACACAAAACAGTTACAATGTAAGACAAAATACATAGATAAGTTCACAACATAAATATATGTTTTTGAGAATCATAAAAGAGAAACACACATGGTGTAATTTGTGTGGTTCCTGTTATCAGTAATAAACTATGTCATCATCTGTTTTTTGTACAAAATAGTTTCTTTTAATGGTCTTAATGGGCAAGCAAATTTTCATTTTAACAATTTAAATGAGACAACATCAGCAATTATAACAAAAGATCTTCGTAAAGAGAATATTGAATTCTCCTTCGAATTTCAATGTTTGATAGATCATCAAGTTGAATATATTGTTATTCACGCAAATCTCGATCAAGAAGATATACAAATAAGTAAAGTAAAAAATCTAATGGAATTATACACAAAAGGTTCTATACCTACTGTTGAACTGAATGAATTTACAGCAAAAGGTATTGAATATATGATCGAAATTAATGAGAAACGATTTTTTCCTTGGAGAAGTGTAATAGCTGTGGCTATATTAGGATCTCTTCAAATTATTGCTGGCGGTGTTCTTATTGCTACTAGATTTGGTTCTACTGTAGGAATGGGTCTAATAACTGAAGGTATAGCTGATATGTTCACTGCCTATAGAGCATTTAGCAATAGACAATTCAGTTGGGGAGATTATTGTAAACAGAAGGCTGTCAGTTTAGTCATTTCTGCTGTTTCAATGGGCTATTCCAAGCTTAAAGATGCTGAAAAAGGTGTCAAGACATTAGTTGGATCGGCTGGTACAGAAGCGCTTGAGCAAGCAGGAACACAATTTGCAACAAATACAAAAACAATAGGTCAAACTGTTGCTCAGACTGGCAAAAATCTCAAGAATCTTGCATTCAAATATACCGGTGTTAAAGGAAGTGAAACAGTTGTGAGAGAAGGTCTCAACAGTGGTGTAGAGTATTTATCGAAATTTTCATTTGATTTGATTAAACCGCAAATATCCGAATCAGTTCAATCAAAAATTCGACTGGTATTTTCTAAACCTGATCTGACATATTTGTTACGAAAAATGTATGCGTTAGATTTACAAACCAAGTCAAAAATATTACAATGTAAAGTAGATCAAATTGTTGCCGATACAATAAATCCACGACACGATATCGCCCGTAAACAATGGGATTCAATTGGTGGACCCTTGCTCAAAGGTGTTTTGGCAGATGTCAAAAATTATGGTAGCGCCATTAGTATGACAATTAGAATTATCGGTACATTAAATGGTATATACGAGTTACAAACGTTAATTGATAACGTATACATAGAGTTGGTTAAGAAACTTTCACAAATTGATAAAAATACAATGACAATCACGCTCGTCTTACATCGAAATCTGAAAATTGATAAAGAAATTGCAAGAAATGCAGTGAATAAACTTAAAAATTTGGAAATTATTGACGAAAATGATAATTTAAAACTTTCGTCTTATTATGATGTTAGTGATGAATGCATTAAATTGAAACGTAAAATAGATGAATTCAATCGACAAGAAAAAGATCAAAATGATGTTGCACAGTTTATGAAATCATTTTGTGATCAATATATGCAAATTGAATATGATTCATTTAGTATAATCAGTAAATCTGTTGCAGACAAAATAACTGAACAATTAATACAAATAATTGAATCGCAATTAATACAACCATGGTCAACATTAGCAGTTAGCAGTTTAACAAGTAATCTTTCAAATCGAATTCAACATAATTATTTGATTGATGAAAATCAAAACTCAGATAGTCACAATAAGGATCAAGAAAAATATGATGAACTTAAAAATAAAACAAATTTAACAGAAGAAGAAAAAACGTTCATGAAAAACTATGGCAAATATCGAACATTTGCAGAGCCAATTAATTACAATTCTAGAGATTATTGTGTTGCCTATACGCAGTGTGAAGTGGCTTATTATGCAAAGACTTCCAGCACTGTGCAAAATGGAAAAGAAGTAGATAAAAAAGTAGAAGAGCGTGCTGATGATGTTGACCATGGTTGTATTAATTG